ACAGAGGGAGAAAGGGGCTTTATCACGGTCAATCCCCGCCCATCAGAAATCAACAAGTATTCTCTCAAAGAAAAAAAAAAAAAATACAGAAATCAATTAAAACATTTAAATATGAAAAACCAAAGGGATTGGGTGGGGAAAGGCAAGAAAGGAGTTGGAGTTTCTTGGGAAGGAAGGTTTTTCCATGTCCCTCTGCCCAGTAAAGGGCTTGGGGCCTGGGGTACAAGGCTCACACAGTGAGTTTGCAGTGACACAGCTCCTTGTAGATCTGCCGACGAAGTTTGGGCATGTCCTGCTGGGTGAAGCTGAATGGCTGAGACAGGGCCAGGTGCTTGCAGTACTGGGTGTTAACAAAGCAGGCCATCAGTACCATTCACTGAGAATCCTCCTAAGTCAGGACCTGTGCTACATATTTTATGTGAGATGTATCGCATGTGATCTTTAAGAGAATAGCCCCATTTCACATACAAAGAGAGCCAAGAACATGTAGGTTAGGATTTAAAAAAAAAAGTCTGACTCTAAGCTAGTGCTTATTTGCTAGATGATATAGCTAATGTCCAAGAGAGGATGGGAGGCAGCTATATCAGGGTCAGAGACCAGAGGCCAGGAGAAAAAAACCAAAAAAGCAAACCCCTTGCCATCAAGTCGATTCCGACTCATAGTGCCCTATAGGACAGAGTAGAACTGCTCCATAGGGTTTCCAAGGAGCAGCTGGTGGATCTGAATTGCCGTCCTTCTGGTTAACCACTGAGCCACCAGGGCCCTGAGTCCAGGAGAGGAACAGTGAAATCAGGGTTTCTGTGTTCTAACACATAAGGTTACTCCCTGTTTCACAACTGGCTATGAGCCAAATGAGGAATGCAGAATATCCAGCCTCCCGCCTCCCTCCCACCCATTGCCACAAACTGACTCTAGGGCTGGAGGGGAAGGTCCCCAATCATCTGCTTACCTGCAACACGAAGGCGCCACAGTCACTGTCATTATTCTGCCTGGCCACATTCTAGAGAATAGAAAGAAGGCAGGCCCTTCACCTGGAGACTCCCAGGGGCATGGCTCAACTTCTGCCTCCCACTGCTACCCCCAGTGCCACTCTGTACCCTTCCCTGTGTGAACTCACCATTTTGAAGTAACCTTTCCAGCCCTGATGGAAATCCAGTCGGTCTTTCTTCACTGCCTCTGCCTGTAGATACTTGGCAATATGCTATGTGGATGGGGAAAAGGAGAAAGGTGACATTGACCCCAGTGTATAGTGGCTGTAGGCACCACACCCAAGTCATTCCTTAGAGGCCCAAATCCCACCCTTCTTCCTGGAATGTTCTGCCACTGGCTTTCCCCACTTTCCGTCCATCTTCCCCCTTCCACCTCAAACCTTAGGACAGCGGCGGTTTAGGGTGCGCTGCGAGTCAAAATAGGTGATGGTGCGTCGCCTGACGTCAACAGAGATGAGAGACCAGTGCACCTCCAGGTGGATGGGGATTAGCAGCAGCTCCTTATTGAAGATGTCCACCTAAGGAGGCAGCGCCAGAGGCCAGGTAAGACTGCACAGGGTCCTGTCTACTGCCACGAGGGTTCTAAAGAGGAACGGAGCAGCAGGCAAAGGAGCCGAGTGGGAGAACACAAGACCTCAGGATCTGGAAGTCTAGATTCTTGCGGTGTAAGGGAGAAGGGCAGGACAGAGGAGGTGGTAACACAACACACACTTGAAACCCCACGGTGGGCCCGGTGCTTTTCACGTGTGAAAGGTACAAGTGCCCATGTGGGTGGCCTGTGTTGCTGAAGCAATGGGAGAACAAGAAGTAAATAAGAGCCCAGGCTCAAACTGCCAGGGTTCAGATCCAGCTCCTCCACTTACTGGCTTACAGCTGTGGACAAGCTACTTAATAACCTTTTATAGCTTAGTTTCCTTCTCTATTTAAAAAAAAAAAACAAACCAAACCCACTGCCACTGAGTCATTTCCAATTCACAGCAACCCTACAGGACAGAGTAGAACTACCCCGTAGGGTTTCTTAGACTGTAATCTTTATAGAAGCATACTGCTACATCTTTCTCCCGCAGAGTGGCTGATGGTTCAAACCACCAACCTTTTGGTTAGCAGCGGAGCGCTTCAACCATATGCCACCAGGGCTCCTTTCCTCCTCTTTAAGAGGGTGACAATAACAGTACCTACCTCATATGTTTGCTAGAGGATTAAACTAGTTAATACCCACGCGCACTTAGAACAATGCCTGGCACGAAGAAAATGCTCAGTTAACGCTCACAACAATCCTACGAGAAAGTTCTCATGTTCAACCTAACGAATGAGGAAACTGCAGCTCAGAAAAGTAAAGGAAGAAACGGCAGAGGTGAGATTCAAACCCAGGTATACAGAAGACCAAGCTCCCTCCATTGTATGTCACCCCCACTTCTACTAGAAGCAGGCATGCCTAAGGATATAAGCTTTTGAACCTGGACAGAAATGAGCAGATACTGGAGCCAATGGTATTACCTACTGAGAAATTCCCTGGCTTATGAACTGGAGGACAGGGAAACCAGGGAAGAAAAGAACTCTTGACTTTCCTCACCAGAACTGTTCCTCCCTCAATCTTCCCCCAGTTACTTAGGG